ATGTGCTTATTTTGGTAAGATATTTTCTAGTCAGATTAAGTGGGGTCATTTGTATCTCATCTTTGGAGAAATGTCTTTTTAGACCTTTTGCCCATTTTATATTGGATTCTGAACTATAAGAGTTCTTTATATAGCATACCAGTATCTTTTCAAATATATGATTTGCAAATATCTTCCATTTTGTAGGTTGTCTTTGTTGATAGTGTCCTTTCAACCACATGTGTGCTCAGTCCCTTCAGTCATGTCTGACTCTTTGTAACCCTGTGGACTATAACCCACCAGGCTCCCCTGTCCATGAAATTCTCCAGGCAAGAATACTGGAGTGAGCTGCCATGCCCTCTTCCGGGGGATCTTCATGACCCAGGGACCAAACCCACATCTCATTACGTTCTCTGCACTGGGAGGCAGGTTCTTTACCACTAGTGCCACCTGGGAAGCCCCACAAACATTTTTAATTTTGAAAAAGTCTAATTTATCTTTTTTTTTTCCTTTTGTTGTTGGCACTTTAAGTGTCATATCTAAGAATTCTTTGCCCAGTTTGGGGTTGTGAAGATTTACCCCATTCATCTAAGAATTGTATGGTTTTAGCTATTGGTTTAAGTTCTTGAACCATTTTGAGTTAATTTTTATATGGTGTGAAGTAGGAGTTTATCTTCATTGTTTTGCCTGTGGCTATCCAGTTGTCTCAGCACCCTTTGTTAAAAATGCTATTCTTTCCTCTATTGAATGGTGTTGGCTACTTTGTCAATAATCACTTGACCATAGATTATGGATTTATCTCTGGACTCTCAGTTCTTTTCCATTGGTCCATCTTTATGTCAGTACTACACTATCTTGATTAGTTTTGTTTGTGATAAGTCTTGAAGTCAGAAAATGTGAGTTCACCTTCTTTTTCAGGGTTATTTTGGTCCTTTATAATTCCTTTTTTTCCTTTTTTTTTGAGGGCAGGGGCATGCAATACAGCATGTAGAATCTTAGTTCCCTGATCAGGGGTGGAATCTGTGTCCCTTGTAGTAGAAGTGTGGGGTCTTAACTACTGGACTTCCCAGAAAGTCCCCGTTCTCTATGAATTTTAGAATCAGCTTGTCAGTTTCTACAAAGAAGTCACCTGGATTTCTACTGGGGATTCCATTGAATCTATAGATCAGCTGAGAGAGAACTGCTATCCTGACAGTGTTAAGTATTCCTGTTCATGAACATGGGATGTTTTTCCATTTATTTAGATCTTTAATTTCTTGCAGTAGCTTTTAAGGTAGTTTTTAGAGTATATGTTTCGTGTTTCTTTTGTTTATATCTAGGTAGTTCATTCTCTTTGATGCTAATGAGAATGGAACTGCTTTCTTAACTTCATTTCAGATTATTCATTGCAAGATTATAGAAATAAAACAGATTTTTGTATATTGATCTTGTATCCTACAATCTTTATGAACTTGTTAGTTTAAGTAGTATTTTAGTGGATCCTTTTTGGTTTTATATGTACAATAGTATATCTTCTGGGAATGGCATAGTTTTAATTCTTCCTTTTCAATCTGAATGCCTTATTTATTTTTATTACTATTATTACTTTTTTTTTTGGTATAATTCCTGCCTAGAACTTCTAGTATAATGTTGAATATGTGGGTGAGAGCAAACATCCTTGTCTTGTTTTGGGTCTTAGGAGAAAGCTTCCAGTCTTTAACTGTTAATTATGATGTGAACTGTAGGGTTTGTTTGTTTTTTTCTGTAGTTGCCCTTTTGTTGGGTTGAGGAAGTTTCTTTTTTATTTATCAGAGAACTCTTTCCTTTGCTTTCATTTTGAAAGAACACTTTGCTCAATGTATGAGTGTTGGTTGACCCAACATTCCCTGCCTCCGTACCTCACACCTCGAATATATTATCCTGCTGCCTTTTGGACATGATTGTTTTTGCTCAGAAATCACCTGTTAATCTTACTTGAATTCCCTTGTAAGTGACATGTTGCGTTTCTGCTTTCAAGATTTTCTGTTTCTTTACCTTCCGTCAAGTGTTTTTCCTACAGTATGTTTGTTTATGAGGCTTTTTATGTTTATCCTCCTTGGAGTTCATCAAGCTTCTTGTATCAGTAAGTTATTATTATTATTTTTTAATGATTTAGGGAAATTTCAGACAATTTCTTCAAAAATTTTTTTCTGCTCCTTTCTTGCTCTCCTCTCTTTCTGGGTATCCTAATTATGTACATGGCAATGTACTTAACAGTTTTCCACATTTCTTTGAAGCTCTGTTCATTTTTCTTCTTCTTTTTTTTATTGTTTGTTTATTTTTCAGCTTGCATAATCTCTATTGATCTGTCTTCCTATTTGATAATTATTTCTTCTGTCAGTTCACTTCTTCTCGTGAGCCCCTCTCAGTTCAGTTCAGTTTAGTCACTCAGTTGTGTCTGACTCTTTGTGACCCCATGGACTGCAGCATGCCAGGCCTCCCTGTCCATCACCAACTCCCGGAGTTTACTCAAACTCATGTCCATCAAGTCGGTGATGCCATCCAGCCATCTCACCCTCTGTCGT